ACTTCCGGGCCGCGACGCCGGCGGAACCGAAGCCCGCCGTAGCCGCGGCGCCCCGGGAACCCGCGACTGGAGCACATTTCCGGTATTTGAGTGGCGCCTACTATCGCCACCGCCGCCACTCAGCTGCACTTCCGGCTCTCCTTAGAGTCGGAACCAAAGTCGCAGAGGCTGCAGCTGCGCGAGGAATTTCTCGATCACAGCACTTTCCGGCATCGCCCTGGAGACCGGGGTGGGGCGGTGCCTGCGTTGTCAATCCGCCGCCGCGCAGCAATGGAGGGCGGGGAGGCGGCTCGCGGCCTAGATCCGGACCTGTCCCGGCGGTTTAAACCCCACTGCGCCCCAGGGGAGCGGCCTTCTTCCCGTAACGAGGGGGGGAGCAGTCGTAGGTCCCGCCTGCCGGCCCGTCTGATCCCAACCCTGCGTGAGGCGCGGGCGAGGTACCCCTGGGATCGCCGACTGTGGGTAGGATCCGGGCGCGGACCTCACCTGGGCCTGGCTTGCACCCTCTGCCCCTAGGGTTGGGTCCCACCCGCAAGTTAGAAGCAGACTCAACCGACGCCCGCACTCCTCAGACCACCCCAGGCCTATCTGCTTGGGCGGAAAGCGAACAAATGAAGGGATGGATATTAGCTGGGCTAGGTAGCCCAGCCTGTCATCCCAGCACTTTGAGGAGGCGGAGACGAGAGGATTGCCCGAACCCACGAGTTCGAGACCAGTCTGGGCAACTTGGCGAGATCTCGTCTCCATAATTTAAAAAAAAAGAAAGGGCCGGGCTCGTTGACTCAGCCTGTAATCCCAGCACTTTGGGAGACCGAGCCGAATGGATTGCCTGAGCTCAGGGTTCAAGACAAGCCTGGACAACTTAGTGAAACCTCGGCTCTACAATAAATTAAAAAAAATAAGCCGGGCATAGTAGCACGTGCCAGTAGTTAAGTTACTTGGAGGCTAAGGTGGAAGGATAGCTTCAGCCCAGCAGGTCGAGCCTGCGGTGGCTTGAGTGTGCCACTGGCACTCCAGCTGGGCGATGGAGTGAGACTCCAATTCAAAAAAAAGAAAAGTGAACAGGGTGTGGTGATGTGTGCCTGTAGTTCCAGCTATTTGGCTGAAGCAGAAGGATCACCTGAGCCCAGCAGGTTGAGGCTGAGGTGGCCATAAGGGTGCCACTACAACTGAAAAAAAAAAGTGCTGGGCTCGGTGGCTCAGCCTGTAATCCTGCACCTTTGAGAGGCTGAGGTGAGTGGATTGCCTGAGCCCATGGGTTTGAGACCCGCCTGGGCAGCGAGACCTCATCTCTACAATAAATCAAAAAATCAGCCGGGTGTGGTAGCACGCGCCTGTAACTCCGGGTACTCGGAAGGCTGAGGCGGAAGGATCACCGGAGCCCAGCAGGTCGAGGCTGTGGTGACCGGGAGCGGCCACTGCACTCCAGTGTGGGTGACAGAGTGAAACTCCAACTCAATAAAGAAATAAAGAAAGAAAAAAGAAACCAACTATCCAAGATGAATGGCTGGAACAGGCCCAGCTGAGTTTTGGGAAGAGCCAAAGGGCAAGTGGAAAAGGAAGTGTGAGGACTCCAAGGAGGAAGGGGGGCAAGTTAGATGAATGCAGTGTGTGAGGGGAAAGCATGTCCCATTGGCATGCTTAAGAGAGGGAAAAATTTGACCGGGCACAGTGGCTCAAGTCTATAATCCCAGCATTTTGGGAGGCTGAGGCGAGAGGATTGCCTGAGCCCTCAAGTTCTAGACTAGCCTGGGCAACATGGTGAGACCTTGTCTCTACAGTAAATCAAAAATCAGCAGGGCGTGGCAGCGTGTGCCTGTAATTCCGGCTACTCGGAAGGCTGAGGTGGAAGGATTGCCGGAGCCCAGCAGGTCGAGGCTGCGGTGGCTGGGAGAGGCCACTGCACTCCAGTCTGGGTGACAGAGTGAGACTCCAACTCAAAAAAAAAAAAGAGAGAGGGAGAAATTAGACCTAGTGGGATGGCAAAGGCAGAGGTCGCAGCAAGCAGCAATGGCTGCTCTGATCTCAGCAAAGAAGGGCAGAAAGGGACAGATTGAGGGTAAGAAGGAGAAGATGCAGGTGGCTTTAGAGCAGGTCTCAGCCCCAAGAAAAGAGCCAAGAGGATGAGAGCAAGATGAAGGTCGAGGACCTGGTCTAGGAGGCCCGGATGGGTGTGGGAGGAAGAAACCCAAATCCTGATCCCTCTCAGGCAGCCAGGGGAGGTGAGAGCTGACACCTTCAGGGTCACAGCCTTGGGAAAACATTTCCTTTGCTTTTCTCTCCAAAGACCTTATCACAGTGGTTGTGGGGCCATTTCAAGGAATAAACTAAAATTGAGCTGCAGAGTGACTGGATCTCCCTCGCTGGCCGAGGCAGAACTCTGAAAGCATGGGTCAGAAGTCAACAGCTTCCACCAAGGAGTCTTCCAGCTCATTCAGGGTCTCAACTTCCCTCCATCCTCCATGCCAAGCCAGTTTTTCATCCAGGGTCTCCCTCTGTGACAGGCACTGTCAAGGACCAACACTCAGGTCCCTGTGTCCATCCTAGTCTGGACTGTGCCAGTTGTGGGATGCATGTCCCAAGAACCAGGCACACACTTTAGTCTGCCAGGAGTTTCCACATGGCCCAGGGGGCAGACACTAAATATATCCGTATAGAAATGCTTCCCAGTACAGGGCAGGTAGGGTGGAGGCTGAGGGGAGTCCCAGACAAGGCAAGTAGTGGGGGATTGAACCCTTTTGATGGGACAGAGAGGAAATGAGAGCCAAGTGGGATAAGGAAGGAGCAGTGGCAGGATTCCCTAGCATGCTCCAGAAAAGCCTCTGAGACTGCAGTTTAGGGAGGGGGCCAGAGGAAGTTCTAGCCCCAGGCCCTAGTGGAGCAATGGGTGGGACCAGGCAATATGCCTTTGGGATTTACCAGAGAAGTTGTAGCAACCTTACAGGTATTAAGGGCTGTAGACAAAGGGAGTGGGGTGAGGCATATTTGCAAGAGAGAAAAGGTTTAATGTGCTTTCATATGTAAAATACAAAGAAGGAGCCAGACACAGTGACTCAAGCCTGTAATCCCAGCACTTTGGGGGGGAGGGTGAGAGGATTTCCTGAGCTCAGGTGTTGGAAACCAGCTTGAGCAACATGGCAAGACCTCTGTCTTTACGATAAATCATAAAAATCAGTTGGGCACAGCAGCGCATGCCTCTAGTTCCAGCTACTTGGAAGGCTGAGGCAAAAGAATCACCTGAGCCCAGCAGGTTGAGGCTGCGGTGGCTGTGAGCGTGCCACTGCACTCCACCCTGGGCGAGAGTGAAACAGACTAAAAAAAAAAAAATTGAATGTGGTCAGATTTTTCAGTGTTCAGTATTTTCCATTCAGAAGCTGCTGGTCTGAGAAGAACTTCCTACCAAAGTGGGCAACTGAGGCAGAGCAGCCACCCAGCCCTGTTATCCAGGCCATTTTCCTGCTGGACCCATAGTGCTTAAGGCCATAGAACAGAAAGGATCGGCGCAGACTCATCACATCCAGACCTCATCCCCTCCTTTTTTTTTTGAGTTGGAGTCTCACTCTGTCACCCAGGCTGGAGTGGAGTGCAGTGACAGGCTCACAGCCACCATAGCCTCAACCCAGTGGGCTCAGGTGAACCTTCTGCCTCAGGCTTTAAAGTAGCTGGGACTACAAGTACATGCTACCACGCATAGCTAATTTATTTGATTGATTGGTATTTTTTTTTGAGTCAGAGTTTCACTGTCATCCAGACAGGAGTTCAGCGGCACATTCACGGCCACCACAGCCTCAACCTGCTGGGCTCAGGCGATCTTTCTGCCTCAGCCTTCCAAGTAGCTGAACCCACAGGCGCATGCCAACATGCCCTGCTAATTTTTTATTTATTGTATAGATGAGGTCTTGCCAAGTTGCCCAAGCTGGTCTCGAACCCACGGGCTCAGGCAATCCACTCGCCTTGGCCTCCTAAAGTGCTGGGATTAAAGGTGTGAGCCACCGTGTCTGGCAATCCCCCCCCTTTTTTTTTTTGAGTTGGAGTCTCACTGCCACCCAGGCTGGAGTGCAGTGGCATGCTCATGGCTGCCCCAGCCTCAACCTGCTGGGCTCAGGTGATCTTTCTGCCTCAGCCTTCCAAGTGCTGGAACTATAGGCAGGTGCTACCATGTCCAGCTTAAATCTCCCCCCTCCTGATAAAGGCTGCTCTTAGCACTGCCTTCTTTGTGTTTAAGATGCCAACTCTGGCGGAGTGGCTCAGGCCTGTAATGCTAGTAGTTTGGGAGGCTGAGGTGAGAGGATTGCCTGAGTCCACACAGGTTTGAGACCAGCCTGGACAACTTGGCTAGACCTCATCTTTACAATAAATCAGAAAATTAGCTGGGCATGGTGGTGCGTGCCTGTAGTTCAGCTACTTGGAAAGCTGAGGCAGATGGATAGCCCAGCAGTTCAAGCCTGGGGTGGCTGTGAGTGTGCCACTGCCTCCAGCCTGGGCGATAGAGTGAGACTCCAACTCAAAAAGATATATAAAATAAAATAGCTGGGCTCGGTGGCTCAACCTGTAATCCTGCGCCTTTGGGAGGCTGAGGTGAGTGGATTGCCTGAGCCCGCGGGTTCGAGACCCGCCTGGGCAGCGAGACCTCATCTCTACAATAAATCAAAAAAATCAGCCGGGCGTGGTAGCACATGCCTGTAATTCTGGCTACTCAGCAGGCTGAGGCAGAAGGATCGCCGGAGCCCAGCAGGTCGAGACTGCAGTGGC